TAACACATCACAGTATTGATATCTTTTGAAGGCATTTTAACATCAACAATGAGATCTCAAAATTAAGATTGTTAAACTAAAAGTAAATTGTTGAGTTAAAATTGAAAAATATACATATATACTGCTATCTGATAGACTACTGTCTTGTGAACATCTAAAATATATTCTTTGAAATATTAATATAACTTTTTTATTTTTGAATTCAACAGGTACAAGGATGGTCTTATTTTAACCTTTTTTAAAAAATCAAATGAAGGAGTTAATGAAATATGTTTTATTTTAACAATAAAATTACATTATTCTATAGTAGTCATCAGAAACATCTAACGGACTTGTGAAATAAAGTATACTAAAGGTACTGACTGCTAACTCGGGTGTCACCAATATATGATAGTTTGCGAAAAAATCATACAAAATTTCATTTGACTGCAGACATTTAGAAGTAACTTGAAACTGTTTTCTGACGTCCATTACCAAATATTTCAGTCGCATTTTGGACGATAATATATTTAATAGTTAATCAATTTAGTAGGTTCTGTGGATACATAGGGTAGAAAGGTACCATTATTATCTATTCTTTTTATGTACCATTTGTTCTCTATTATTTATATTTTTTGTCCATTATTATCTATTCTATAAACAATCCCAAGACTATCCGACAAGATTCATGTCACTTAAAACCTACATTTCAGTAAGTGCTTGAATCTCAACGTATCTCAATTGACTTTGAATAAATGATACTATCGAAACTGGAAGGTCTGTTTCAAATCTTGATCTTGTCCCTGATAATGACAAAGATGAACGAACGACTCAAAACTAGATAGAATCTATGTTAGAAAAAAAACTAGATAGAATCATATGGTAAAAAAAAAACTTAAGCTCTTACCTTTATTAAGCAGTTACATACGCTCTATCTACCTGTATCTCAGTTGATACGCTACGCTCGTGCATGTTCACGTCAAATAAGGCCAATAGAAAACACACGTTGTAATATTTTTGTTCTAGTGGTCGGTGTTCACTCAAAAAATGAGTTTTTAAGGTGTATTTATAATGCACGACTATACAGTAACATGTAGGTTTATCACTATCGATTAAATCCGAGGTTACAGCCGCTCCGCAATGCAATATTTTGTTTTTAATAGACAATAGTTAACTGGCAACATGTAGAATGTCCCATAAGCGTTTGACAATTGAGACGTATTTAGTGCAGATGGAGAAGGCAATTACTAATGGTGTACTGGTCATATTTTATGAATTGCATCTTTATGAAATTACAAAATGTAGTCACCTTAAAAACCTCATTACCAAATTAACAGATTCATGTTAACGTCTAGATATCTTTTGTATTCGTTGGTGCCGTTTGTGTGCCGACTCATTTACGTATATCTCCCATTTCGTTTGTATTTGCCATAATGTTATATTGCAGGCTGAATGATAAATATTGAAATGATCGGAATTATAACAGCCAGCTCAATCCTTTTTGCCACGCTCGATTATTAAAGAGGATAAATGTAAGACTTGGACAAAAATATGCGATACTTCACAAAAGCCTACATCCAGAATATATCTATTAGAACGTCTCCAATTCGGTAATGATATATGAAATTATTCGAGTTGTTTCATAACTCATGGTGTAGATACTCATGCTTTTTTTAACATGAGGGGCCTCGGTGGCCGAGTGATCTAGGTAGTCCAACTATTGTATCACCAGCATGTAAAGACCAAGGTTGTGAGTTCGACTCCTGCACGTGGCAGGTGCGCTCGACTCCAATCTTAAAAAACTAGGATTGTCAGTTTTCCTACCGAATGTCGGTGGTTCTCTCTGGGCACTCTGGCTTCCTCCACCAATAAAAAACTGACAACCACGATATAGCACAGTAGTGCTGGAATTGTCGCTAAATACCAATCAATCAATCCATCATTTTTTTTAACATAAAGATAATTTATATACCACCTTTACCTTTTTTGTTGACTTTTGATCCTCAAATTCTATTTGCATTTCACAAAATTTGTTTGCAAGAGAAGTTGCAGCGTACACAGTATCATTCTCTAAATACTTTTCCCGTCTTAATTCAAGGCATTAGGCATATTTCCATAATACAACACATCTTTGGAACGTTTTAGTATCTGCATATACTGCACCATGATATCGTATTTTGTAAATAGTGTCTTCGTGATAATCTTTGTTTGTTCAAGTTCACTAGATAATGTCATTTCATTTGTGTTAGCAAATGGAGTTTTCGAGAAACTACCTTCGGTTTTTGACACTTATTGATGTAAAAGATGTAGTCGCAATTCGAGAGATTTTAACCAGAATTTACCTGCCTTTTCAACATCTGTATCGACTTCATGACGACCTAGTGGTTCATATGAATCGACGAGTTCAATATTTGTACCAGAACCTTTCTGAATAAAGGCCTAAACAACTAAATCATGTCCTTTAAATGCAGCTAAATCAAGGGATGTTCTGTTCGCTTTATTTCGTATGGTGTAAACGGCAGTATTCTTCAATAGAACCATAGTACTGTCTACATGATCTTCTTTGCCTGCATCAAACTCCATAACATTCTTACTTTTGTTTACATTATTACTATCATTGTCGGTACTATTCGATTGTCGTTTATTATGTTTCTCATCAGTAATGTTCTTTATGTTTGAGTTCTCCCTGATTATTCCACTAGAATAAAATCAACTTTATCGAAAACCACATAGAAATACATCATAATTTATTTGAAATTTAAAAGATAAGCGCTGAAAACTATTATCTCTTTTACATATGGGCAATCTTTTTAAGTCACTATGTTTTCATAGTTTCTACAGGAAGATTATGAGTAAGATTATACGAAAATTTCCACAGTGTTGAAATTATCAAAAATTTAATACTTGTAAAATTGATACAATAAGAGTTAAAAAGAGAGCAAATAACGAGATACAGAAGGAAGGAGCTCAATGCCTTGAGATACAAAAGGAAGGAGAGCTCAATGCCTTTAATGATGTATATAAAAAAAACTTTCATAAAGTATAAACAAGAATACCAAACTCCAAAGTAAATTCAAAAAGGGGAAGTCCATAAAAACTGACGAAATCAAACCTTATGCTATATCAACCAACGGAACGAACGGAAAATAACTGTCATATTCCTGATGTTCAGGTATTTTCCGAAGAATATGGTAAGTTACACTTGGTTTTATAGCTTACTAGTCCTCCCACTTGTATGACAGTTGTTTAAAGTTGAAGATACCAGGTTACAATTGTGTACGCCAGACGCTCGTCTCGTGTACAAAAGACTCATCAGTGACGCTCAAATCCAAAAAATTAACATGTCAAATAAAGTATATCGAGTACCCTAAATTCCGAAGGTATTACAAAATACAGCCATGGTAATCTTTTCCTGAGGGTAGAAAATCGAACGTTGTTTGTAAACAGATAATTTATGAATATGGCAATATAATTGGTGATTCATTTCAAAACAGAAGGGCTGATTTCTGGTCTGGTAAAGTAAAGACGTACAACAAGAACACATCTGCTGTGTAATATATGTAACTGATGAAAAACATACAATATATTATTGCAAAAAATGTACAGAAAGTACGATCCATTAGAGTTTGCATTTATATTTCTCTCGTCTCATTATACCAGTGTGCGATGATGCGAAGTTAAGCATAATTCATTGAATAAATGGATTAACATATTTTACTCCATCCAAATGTCGCTCTTGTTTACTTGAGGTTGCAAGAGTTATCTTTCTTTGGAACAGAAACTGTCTTATACCTTTTATTATATTCCGATTCAAAAAGTGTAGTTTGGAGCAAGTTATTGTCTTGGCCGAAAAGTAGTAAAAGTAAAAAGTAAATAATGAGCGAATTCATTAACATGAAGACAAAGTTGAACACCCATTTGGCTTTATCTTCAAATGGATCGATTCAGTTGTTGCTGGACTAAAGGTTGCCTATTATATCATCTGACCAGTTGTTTGGAATAAGCTGTGATCTGTGACGTACATTTTCAACTATGTTTCTACATATATCATGTGCCCTAGTTTTTTCCTGAGCATCTACATATGTATCACATACCATAGTTTTGATCCTGAGCATCTACATATATCACATGTCCCAGTTGTGACCTTAAGAATTCACGTTGGATGTATAATTTTAGAAATATGCATCGAACCTGCCAAATAGGTGCGCTTCACTTCGATTAGTATTTTTCGTTATAGATATTCTCCTCTATTATTTTTATGTATAACTCATAATGCCATCAAAAAGTAAGCTTTCTAGAGATTCCAGTGTTTCATTTTATCCACTCAATGCATATTCAGGCATATTCAGTTGATCATGACATTTTAGAATGCGACTTTTTGAATCTGGTGACGGGTAATGAAAATACAGTAGGTCATGCTTTCCCAGTCGATACACATTATCTCATTCCTATTCCCTTCTGACTTCATCAATTTCAGATGTATGTAATATCCATGTTTACCTGTATTATATCTGCACTTATGATATCACCGGGTTTTTACATACATGAGCAACACGACGGCTGCCACATAAGAAGGATGGTCTGCTAACCCTTCCGGAGCACCTGAGATCACCCCTGGTTTATGGTGGGGTTCGTGCTGCTCAGTCGTTAGTTCTCTATGTTGTGTTTTGTGTATTGCTGTTTGTCTTTTCGTCGTTTTTCGTTTTTTTGCCATGACATTGTCAGTTTGTTTTCGACTTATGAGTTTGAGATATAATCCCTTGGTATCTTTTGCCTCTTTTTTACACTGCCTTAAAATATTGAACATGATAATTACACCATTCTACTGTAAGAACTAGGACATCACGATCATTTGTGTGGTCTCTTGGTTGCATTCTCCTCTGATGCGTGAAAGGTCATGGATTAGATCCTCGGTTGAAACAATTCTAATTCTTTAATGGACAGTTTCTGTCTCTACGACATTTAAAACTGAAGCATTTGCAATAAGAAAAAAAAATCTATGAAAACAAAGAACCAAGTAATAAGACAATACATAATTTATAAACAATAAAAAACAAGAGGCTACAAAGAGCATGAATTGTTCACCTGGGAAACTATGCCATTTTGATGTTTATTTTTTTATTTTATTGCAATCAGTTATGTTTGCTTATTTGTAGATCTTATTTGGTGGTATTTTTGGAGATATTGTATTCGTGATAATTTTTTTCTGGTCTATTATAGTTTTTATGATATTGGCAAAATTTTAGAATTAGTACAAAAAATATATTTATTTTATTAGATATCTAGATCTTGTATAATTTTTTTGTACAAAATTATACAATTAGTACCAAACAAAAATCAGTAAAGAAAACGACAATTTGATAAAAAAAAAAAAAAAAAAGGCGCCATTTAAGAGCAATAACGAGTCATCCAATGGCGTATTGTAACTCAGTTTTGCTGCTGACAATGTCTACCTATCTATGATCTACCGGTTTCGGTCATATTGACATTTTTGTAACTCTTGTATTGCTGATAATTGTTCCTAGCTGTTTAAAGTTTCCACCTTTCTATAATAGTTTTTTTCAAATAATTGAGAAAGAAAGAAAAAAAAACCAAGCACGACAATGCGACAGAAATCTTCCTTTTAGGACAACTCTTTAACATTTTTGTAACTTTTGCATTGATGGTCTTTTTTGTTATTTACAATCTACCGATTGATTTTAATTTTTGAGATAGTAGACTAAATACAAACACTTGTCAAAAGTTGCAATTTAAGGGCATCAACTTCCATAAAGAGCCGTCTGATAATTTTGATATAAACAGGAAATAGTTATTATCAAATTTTCTTTATCTTCGATAGTTTCAAATCATTAAGACAATTCATGCATTTTATCCTTCTAATCTATTATTAGTCGTGGCGGCCATGTTTTTTAAGAGTAAAAAATAAACCACAAACTTTATACTAGATGCTCTAAGAATCCTTCAGTTCAAGTTTGGTTGACATTGCTATTGTAGTTTAATTGGAGAAGGCTTTTGTACTACTCTACAACGATGACGATGGACGCTAAGTGATGGCAATAGCTCACATAGATGAGCTAAAATGGGCTCTGTTTGACCTAAACATTCGACGTTTTACAAAACGAGGTGATCTTTCCCATTTGTTAATTAAACTTTCCCTAAATAGTTATTAAATGATTTGTTTGATTAAACTTGTTCTTTAATAATCAGTTGTTACTAAAGTTTCATATGACTTTAATGTTTAATGCGGTCGACAAATATGATAAATGAGATATCTCTATAAAAAATTATAAAAAGTGCATATTTTAGCACATATTTGTGAGTAGGGGAAAAATAACACATGCACGTGCCAAATAAATAGTCACAGGAGAGGTACTAATTATATAGACCCTATCATGGTAAATTATTTAATTTATATTTGTAAGTGATCTATATTTCAAAAAAGACCAAACACTAGTTTAAAAATTTACGAAAACGCGTAGAAGGGCCTTTTCTGTGGCACTACAACGACATTTATTATGAGGTCAGGAATCGTTGCCTATCTGTTTGTAATTTCTATTATCAATTGGTATAAGCTCATGATAAAAAAAGAAGTAAAAGTCCGAATTGCAGTAAAACAATTCGACCAACATTTTCATTACAGTAGGAATTAATATCAAACTTGTCAAAGTTACTTGTGCTACTCGACTTTTATATCGACTCTACACACTGGACATACAGCTTGGCTCTGAAAATAAATACTATCAGTTAGAGAAAACTTCATACTGAATATTAGATGGTTTTGGTGTACATTTAAATCTTACATGATTTTGAAGTACACAAGGGTTTTTGTGTATTTGTCTAGTGTGTACCAGATGAAGGTTGTTCAATAAACAAATTTTGTCTTTTCTGGAATTGATAATTTGAATATTTCAACACAATGTGCATATACTGCATACCCTTTTTTAACTATCGAATTTCCTTGTTACTATTTAGTAGTTTTTAATGCAAAGTTATTTATATAAGTCTTGTATGTTTTTTTAATTTTAGTTCATTTATATGTTTTCGAGTTTAGTGTGACGTCAATTTTCACTGAACTAGTACACAATTTTATTTAGGGGGCCAGCTGAGGACCACCTCCGGGTTTGGGATTTTCTCGCTGCGTTGAAGACCCATTAGTGGCCTTCGGCTGTTGTCTGCTCTTTGGTCGGGTTGTTGTCTCTTTGACATATTCCTCATTTCCATTCTCAATTTTATTATATATATAAACATACTTTGTGTCGAAGGTTTTTGTACCGCCAGTGACGAAAGTTACAAAACGCGATACATAGGGATGGTAATCTGCGTACTTTAGTTGTATGAAGCTTTATATTTCAGACAGTAGAAGATTTGGGTGAACATGTATATCTTGAATAGCATTAACGGTACCAGATGCAAATTTCGACAATAAATGTCTCTTCAGTGAAACTCGAAGGCAAAATATTTGAAAATTCGAAACCTTTTACAAACTTTGAAGAGCTGATAAAACCAGAAGGGAATAGCCAAATCCGAACAAGGAATCAGAGATTTGCTTTGAAAGGATTCATTTGAACTCTACCTCATTTTCATTGTTAAATGGTCACTGTTAAATTTTTGTAATTAAGTAATTAATAGATATAAGAAGATGTGGTATGAGTGCCAATGAGACAACTCTCCATCCAAGTCAAAATTTGTAAAAGTAAACCTTTATAGGTCAAAGTACGGTCTTCAACACGGAGCCTTGGCTCACACCGAACAGTAAGCTATAAAGGGCCCCAAAATTACTAGTGTAAAACCATTCAAACGGGAAAACCAACGGTCTAATCTATATAAAAAACGAGAAACGAGAAACACTTATGAAGTCAAATTCTCAGATAGTATAGGCGATATTTGTAGGTAATATAAGATGTACATGTCTGTCTGGCAGGTCTCAACTGACCTTGATGACATTTTCATGGATCATTGGACAATGGTAAGTAAGCAATAGAAATAGGTCAACTACATTCTACGTATGGAATGATTTTACATTATTAATCTTAAAGACTTTCAACATAAATTCCTTCACGATCAGTAAAGCAGGCGAGACATTTCAATACATGCGCTCTTGTTATTTATAAGATAAACACAAACACTCATCAAAAACACCAGACTTATAATTAAGTATGTTAGAGGCGCTAGAATAATAACAGAGATGGAAAGACAACGGATCGCGTATTTGATACGTCCAACACAACCGCGAACGGCCCTTTCTTGACTTTACTTTGAGGCCACTAGCTGTTTGAAAAGTAGTCTCTAATCACTTACTTTTAACCATTGGTCTATGCATTCTTTATGGTAAGCATGAAAACATGGTAATGCTTTAACATAGTCTCCAACGTTATATTCACCCAAACATATACTACATTGCTTTTCTTCATTACTTGCTGATGTATGTAAGCTAGGTTTATGACAAGGTATCCGTTCTATTTGGTCTTCAGACATTCCTGAATTTTGTACATCTCCATTTTCTTCCTGTAACTCCCATAACGCCTGATAAAACAAATAAATGGTAGATATACCATATATCAATTATGTTTTGGTATGACTCACTACTCGTATATAAAAAAAACATTACAATTCCCCTGTCCTTACATTGAAATGTTTAACATGATTTCTTGTGAATAATACATAAAAAGAATAGCAGGAATTGCGACCATTATTTCACGGAACAACACACAACACCAATCTCTAACAACCGATGCATCCGAAAACATAGCCTTCACGGAACAACACACAACACCAATATCCAACAACCGATGCATCCGAAAACATAGCCTTCACGGAACAACACACAACACCATTCTCCAACAACCGATGCATCCGAAAACATAGCCTTCACGGAACAACACACAACACCAATCTCCAACAACCGATGCATCCGAAAACATAGCCTTCACGGAACAACACACAAAACCAATCTCCAACAACCGATGCATCCGAAAACATAGCCTTCACGGAACAACACACAACACCAATCTCCAACAACCGATGCATCCGAAAACATAGCCGTTTAAATAAAGACAAACAACAACAAACACCAAATGGTTCAGATAAAATTGAGAATGGAAATGGGGAATATGTCAAAGAGACAACAACCCGACCAAAGAGCAGACAACAGCCGAAGGCCACCAATGGGTCTTCAACGCAGCGAGAAAATCCCGCACCCGGAGGTAGTCCTCAGCTGGCCCCTAAATAAAATTGTGTGCTAGTTCAGTGAAAATGGACGTCACACTAAACTTCAAAACATATAAATGAAATTAAAAAAAACATACTAGACTAACAAAGGCCAGAGGCTCCTGACTTGGGACAGGCGCAAAAATGCCTGACTGAATGGGTTATGGTAGTTGTGCGTACGCATATAGCTTCCCCTTTCATAAATAGACCATGTATCTTAAAAAATAAATCACATAACAAGGCTACGAAGTCTAGCTGACAACATGATGATCATTAAACTTGATAAAAGGAAAATACATGTATAAAAATGAGGAAATGTGGTATGCTTGCAAATGAGACAATTATCCACCAGAGTTCAAATAAAGTGGTAATAATCAATTAGGGCCACCGTACAGCCTTCAACAATGAGAAAAAACCAAACCGTATAGTCGGATATAAAGGCCCCGACATGAACAATGTGAAACAATTCAAACGAGAAAACTAACGGCATGAATTATAACAAAACAAATTTCGAAATGAATAGAACAGACCACCGGTTGACAGACATGGGAATAGGGATATAATAATCTTCCATAATAACTGCACTTACTAGTTACTGTAGAGTTATGTATATAAGTTACACTTATTAGTGGCACAATGTATATAAAATATAAATGTAAAGATAATAAACTCTTTTTGGTAGCTTCTATTTTTTTTTTTTGTGTTCGTGTGTTTTGTACACAGTTGTCCAACTGTTCTGACTATCTTGCAAATTACCGCTCTAAACATCAGTTTCATACTCACTTCATAGTCATCAATGTCATTATCATAGTTTTGATAATCATTTCTATTACTTTGGTTGTCATTATCACCAGATCTGTATTGTTGCCTAACTTCGGAACCCGCCAAACTTCCCTCGTTGAGTGCCTACAAGAAAAAGGACATCAAAACAAAAGTAAAACCCAGTTTTAACAACAACAAAATAAAAAAAAAAAACTAGCCCTATAATATCATTGTAAACCATTTCATTGACACTATGTTTTCTCTACACAAAGACAGCTTATACCACTTTCTAAGACTAGTACGACATTATCCACCCCAGGAAGGAGATCTCAGCACACTTCTTGTTAGAGAAATGTTGGATTATTTGTTTCTTTCTTTCTTTCAGAAGACTTAATTTGTAACTTTGAATTATATTTGTCTCTCAGGTTGCACAGGAGTGATATTGAAAAAGCCATTTGATATTCTTTATGAATATAAAAAAAAACAAATTGAGGAGATGTGGTATGATTGCCAATGAGACAACTATCCTACAGAGTGAAAATGATGTGGTAGTGAAATAATCATTATTGGAAGTTTTATTGCATTTGGTTAATCATCCATTAAACACATTAAAGCATTAACAAATGCTTTTCATTAATATTTTTTTGTGCTGTTGATATTTTTGTTTTCAGTTTTCAATAAGTTAGACAGTTACAATTTTACCTCAGTACTTTGTCTACTGTGGTGCGTTCTTTGTGCTGTCCGATTCTCACCAGGAGCTCTATATCTCCTGCCAATATGTTGTCTCCTTTTATGAGTCTCATTTCGATCTTCAAATGTCTGTGCAATATTTGCATCATGTTGCTCCTGCTCAAATATTTCTTGTTCTTGCAGTTGCAAAGCAATTTGTTCATTTTCTTCATAAGTGACTTGCAACTGAGGTGTTTGTAGTTCTATCGTCTGAAGTTCTTCTGCCAGGACAGCATCATTGATTAGTTGAGAATTTACAAAAGAAGGATAATTTTCGTTTTCCTGAAGATGTAAAAACATGTTCACCAATGAACCAATCATTGCCAAGATTAGAATATCATTATCGTGACGGAAGTTTTGATGAGATTCCAATTAACTACTTTTAGGACTATTACACGTGCTACTAGTATTTCTCGCTTTCTATAGACGGGTGACAATTGGGAAGCAGGATCTGCTATCCTTTCGAAACACGTGGGACCCCCCCCCCCTTTTTCCTCTCGATTTTCGGTTGGGTTCATGTTTTCCAGTCTTCAGATTCTCATGTTGTGTTTTGTAAACGTTGTTTGTGTTTTGATCGTTTTTTTGTTTTTGCCATGGCGTTGTCAGTTTATGTGTTTGAATATCCTTTGATATCTTTCGCTTGTCTTCTATAGAGATTTCATGTTCGGAATAAGTCTCGATCAGACTGTCCAAACTATTAAACTGTCGTTTGATGTTACAGTGAAACATTTGTTTTACTTTTGTTTGCTCTTACCTTAGAGGGCCTCGGTGGCCGAGTGGTATAAGTAGTCGAACAACAAAATCACTAGTCTGTCACCACGCACGTGCAAATCCCGCACGTGGCAGGTGTACTCGACTCCGATATTAATTAACTAGGATTGTCAGTTTTCCTACTGAAGGTCGGTGGTTCTCTTTGAATTCCTCCACCACTTAAAACTGACCGCCACGAAATAGTACAATAGTACGGAAAGTGGTTTTAAAACCCAATCAATCAAATCAAATATCTTACCTTATAATTTAAACCATGAGACTGTTTTAATCTAACCTCATTTCTTAAAACTCAAATCTTACATTATTTCTTAAACTCAAATCTTACCTGATTTCTTGAACAACGTCTGCGTTTCCTGTGTCTACTTTCATCAGTGTCAACCAGTCTCTGGGCAAAATCAGCATCATGTTGTTCCTGCTCAAGCCAATCTTGCTCCTGTAGTTGCCAAGCAATCCTTTCGTTGTCATTGTCACTTATTGATGATAAAGGTTTAAGCAGTTCCATATGTTGTAGTTCTAGAGCAAAATCACCATCAATATCGTCCATGGTATTTAGGAATCACTTTTGGTCGTCTTAAATGCAGCCACAATGACCGTATTGATTATTAATGTAAATATTGATTTATCAATTAAAACTCTAATAATTCAAAAAGAAGTAAGTTACATTTTCCCAATCAAACTAGCTGCTTAAATACTTGCAGTGGTATCCGTTTGATAGTCGTTTAAAATCTGAACAATTCGTAACTTTTGTGTATTCATAATGTATTTTATTTAAACATTTGTTTTTGGAAAAGAACAAATGTTGACGAACCATCTCTATTACATAGCTTTTATACTCTGTTATTTTGTATATGATGCATATTTCTAAATTCCCATTTTCCCAGCCAACGTAGAAGAAAACTAAACGTGACACTTGAAAATCAAAACAGTCTGTAAATCACGTGTGATATGTATTGATACATTAATTCCCAACAAATATTACTTTGTTTGTATCATTGCCTACAGAAGAATATGATATTTTGAACGGTGCATTACATTTGCGCGCAGCTTTTGATTACATTTGCGCGCATTCTTTTACAGGTAAACTCGGGTAAATACAGGTAGATTATACTTATTTATTTATTTAACTATTATTTTCGAGCAGGATAAGTCCATTTTATTGTGCACAAGCACTTAGTCCTGGATATATAAACAGATAAAAATGTAAGACACAAGGTAAATCTAAAGATTAAAGGTACTGATTTTACATGTCGTAACGTACACAATATAACAAGGCATTTTATATTTATAATATAAGAATGAAAATTCATGATTAACAATAGAACAAGATAAGAGAAATTGATAATAATGATATATCATTGGCAATTCGCAATAAATTAATACGCCATATCTTCAATTGTTCGAGTATTATCTTGAACTTTCGATTTTATAATCTATTTTCGTTTTTCTCGTGTCTTAAATATTTCAATGAAAACGAGGTTTGAAGTTATTAAAATGTTTATTTATCTTTACCTTTAATATTTTTCTAGCATAAGAGTATTACTTTAATTTGGCTGTTCTCTTTACCATGAACATTAAATGTGTTAGGAATTATGAACTAAATATGCGTCAACTATATATACTTCACCAGTCGGTGTCTTCCTTTACCACTGGATCGATTAATTATTTTTCAGAAGCGGAAGAATATTATATACGAAATAAGAATATGAAAATTACACGTCGGCTATTTTTAACCGTTATAACCGTTATATCTATTTATAGATTATTTATTGGTATCTCATTTCACTTTGTGAGTTTCAAATAAATGAGACTTGAATATATCAACTTTTACTTTTGATTTCTTATTGAGACCTAGATAATCTACTATAAATAGCATCTATATCTCTATGGAAGGGAATATCCGCCATAATTATACATTTCTTAATTATAAATTGCAATTTCTTAATTTGTAAAATGCAATTTCTTAATTTATTAAATGTAATTTCTTGATTTGTAAAATGAAATTTCTTACTTTGTAAAATGTAATTTCTTAATTTGTAACACGTATTTTTCCATCCGTTACCTGAATTTCTACATTTCTTGATTTGTGAAATGTATTTTCTTAATGTTAAAATGCGGTTTCTTAATTTTTATTTTCCTCGTTCGTTACATGAAATTCTACATTTTTTGATTTGTTCGGAAATGTAATTTCTTTGTTTAAGTCACGTTTTGGGAGAATGTGCCAGTGTAATTGTTACCGCTGCCAGCCAATGAGAAATTCCGTTTCTCCAGAAAAACTACAAGTTACAAATCAATAAGTTACAAATCAAGAAGTTTTACAAACAAGAAGTTTTACAAGTCAAGAATGAATAGTTCCACAAAATTCCACACGATTTCGCTGTGGATTCATGCCATCTCATACTTTAGCCAACTCGTACCCAATATTAACCAACTCGTACTTCTACCAACTCGTACTTTTACCAAATCGAGACCAGCATCAGATTACCAATCAAGTATTTGTATGTTTCTATATCATATAATAACTTTAATGCGTATAAATAATAAAATATTGGGTACGAGTTGGTAAAAATACGAGTTGGTTGAGTACGAGATGGCAAAGGTACGATTTGACATGGACCCATAGCGACCTCGTGCGGAATTCATTCTTGAATTGTAAAACTTCTTGATGTGTAAAACTTCTTTAATAAATACATGTAACAAATTAAGAAATTAAATTTTACAAATTAAGAAAAATGCATTTTACAAATTAAGAAATGTATAGTTATGTCGGATATTCCCTTCCATATATTTCCGCTAAGCTCTTTCTTGTTAGTTAAAATATTAGTTGTATATATAGAAAATAGTTGAATTGAAGCCTGAAGGTTAAAAGGAAGTAATTAAAGATGACTGGCGCCACCTAGATTTTACACCCAAGATAATAGGTAGACGTAAACTTATTTTCTGCTGCCCTGGTAATTAGAAAACAAAATTGAAATAGTGAGAAATGAGAGTTGGTCATTGGTGTAGAAATAGCGAGAATTTGGAGGAAACTCTCTGTGACGAGCAACATTTTCTGTGCCAAATTAAGCAAGGATGTTCTTCATTCATACTATTTTGAAAATTCCGGAACCGTTGAGTACCATTAAAAAATGCCATTTTCTATAAAAAAAGCTGCGGCAACCATATGTGTTTTACTGTTTTATTCACTCCCAAAGGTGTTGATAATTCAGAATTTGACAGTTTTATCAACGGTTCTTTTATAGTGAAAACGCAGGACCCAAAAAGGCTACTATTGTCTATGTAAATAATTACTTCATTTTAACCTGAAGTTTGCTCACATGTTTCCTGTTACTATTAGAGTTCGAGCAATATCCACCACTATATGAAACTATTGTTCGAGCTCACGGTAAACTTCACAGCAGTTCCTTCCAGTATCGATATCGGTATTCCGACATTGACCATGAAATGATATTTAAGATAATGGGAAGCGATATAATTGCCAATGTAACAGTTATCAATAAAGACCAAAAGACATCGATATGATTTATATCATTCATAATCATTTAAAGAAAGCTCATATGTTTCATAATCATTATATATATATGATTAACTATCAATTCTGTCGATACTAAATTTCCAATGCACTATTAACATAAGTAATCGCGATTGCTGGTGGAGAATTTTGGGTCCTCAATGCTCTTCAACTTCGTACCTTATTTGGCCTTTTTAACATTTTTTTGATTCGAGCATCACTGATGAGTCTTTTGTAGAAGAAACGCGCGTCTGGTGTACACAATTTCGGTCTTTGATGAGTTTACTATTAACATAAGTAATCGCGAGAAGATTATTCTACTAATGAATTCTACGATTTAGTAATCTAAAAAATGAATGGTTGCGACTAACCAAGTCAAGGAAGTTTGACTGAGGTGATTTTGTCTTTTCTTTCTTGACCTCTTTTATTCACTCAAGGGCCTATGTATTTATCTTTCCTTGCATTTTAAAACATTTTTGCTTTACCTCTACATGACAGAAATGCACATCGACCGTGAAGCAAAATAAGTAAATTTGTATTTTTCACTTTTATTTACCAGGAATTTTCAATGAGACCCGTTATCAGTAAATTAAAGACGTAAATTAATAGCCGACAGTTGCTTATAAATAGCTAGTGATGTATCAGTGCATTAGGTTAAAGAGAGGCGAATGATACCAAAAGGACATTAAAACGCATAAGTCGAAAATAAACTGACAACGCCATGGGTTAAAAAAAGAAGACCAACAGACAAACACCAGTACACAAAACACAAACATAGAAAACTAAAGACTGGGAAAAACGAACCCCCACCAAAAACTGGGGTTGATCTCAGGTGATCCGGAAGGGTAAGCAGATCCTGTTCTACTAGTTACAACCAGTCTATATCGTTTATAATGGGAGAAGTCACAGCTCTGGTGCAGTCCATTCTTTTTATGTTATACCTTATTCACATTCGAAGACACTTGAATCATACTGAAAATCAGACATCCTTGATCGAATTAGGATATATCTAATGTCAGATATAATAATTAAGTTTTATCTTCCTGGTCTCGGGTAATCAAGACAAATTTTATGTATTTAGATATCGTAAAATTCTTTTTTCGGCCGTTATTCTTTACATAAGGTCTACTGCACTTTTAAAAGTTTTAAAACTCTGGCAACAGTCAACATAAGCAACGTGAACATCATGCACAGTGTCATTTGTCTGTGCTTAATGGTAGGTGAAGATATCTTGGACAGAAGATACACCCATGTAGTGAAGTAGACAACATCATCTCAATTGCTACCTGTAGCATAGAGATAAAGATTTGAAATGATATGAAACGTGCAACCGGCGTACTGTATATTTTACTGGATACTGTATATGTTCGAATGGTATCATTAAGCTCTGAAAGTCCGCCAGCAGTGGTATACCAATCTAATGTTAATGAAATAAACATTAGATACCAAAAAAAAGTCCGCAACAAGAACAGCCTGGATTTTGATAAAATATACCGTACTTAATGGAGGTAATATTGTGATCACCACCGTACTTAATGGAGGTAACATTGTGATCACCGTACTTAATGGAGGTAACACTGTGATCACCGTACTTAATGGAGGTAACATTGTGATCACCGTACTTAATGGAGGTAACATTGTGATCACCGTACTTAATGGAGGTAACATTGTGATCACCGTACTAAATGGAGGTAACATTGTGATCACCGTACTTAATGGAGGTAACATTGTGATCAATAAAAGATTTTTGTTAATTTACACTATAGCAAAATAAACCTGTAGAACGGATGTCTATGTTTTTTGTTAGTCAAATGTCACGTTCCCATCAATGAAATGAGAACTGGAATACACGTACGGGTGGGGTTCTTAATTTCTGTGTTCTTTAGGGAATTTTCTTTATCGATAAGAATAATATATATTCTGTAAAATTCTCATAAAAATGTCTACTATCATTTCTTTCTTTCTGTAGCTGTATGATTTATATCGTCCATTTCTGTAATCAGTATGGTATTACCTTTTTTTTTTAATTTTCTACAGTATTTTTATACTTTTGCTTCCCGTTGTTTTTGATATTTTTCTATATTCCAGTATTTTTTAGCCATTATTCTCATTTCTGTTCATCCCATCCAGACCTTCATATACGTTTGTTTGTGTATGGTAAGTTGTGCGGTTGTAAGTTTCAAAGATAACCGGTACATATATGATATATAAACATTGTCGTAGAGATATGGAACTGATAGACCCGAGGTGGTGACACCGAGAGCTTATTTCCTCCTTCCCGCTTTTTGTAATTTTTTCCCACTTCCCATTTTTCCCTCCTTTTTTCAAGACCACACTCAGTCTGTTTACCCCTCCCCTATATCCCTTATCCCTTTTACATTATATCAAGTAACTTTATATTTTGTGTATAAAACAGAAAAATACAATTAGTCTTAAAAAGTAATGATCATTTGGAATATTCACGTTTACCTTTTTGTTTTAATCGTGAGTATTTTGTTTTTACAGCAATCAACTATCATTAAAGTGATAGGTTTGTTAAAAGAAGACATGTTAAACAAAGTGTTTACATGCACTTAAAGGTAAGAAAACCAGGATGACACCGGTAAATGTCTGTACGATATCAGAACTGGACAGTAGGTCTCATATGTTTCTGGTTGTTCTATGGGGCGACCTATATTTGAGCGAACAAATGAATTAAATACATTGATAAATAATTAAAAGAAATCAAAATTTTACGTCTTTCTTCGTTTATATAAAAATTAAAAAGCACTACATATATGTCGAATAGCAAAGTTTGGAATAAAATATAGTTTGTCTGGTCTTTCCTCAAAGGAAAATTCTAAGTATAAAAAAACTGGCCGTATTTAAACCACTTTTATACTTCGTTGACCGCCTCGGTGGTCTCGTGGCAGCGTGTTCGCCTCGAGTCCGGGAGGTCGTGGGTTCGAACCCCGGCCGGGTCAAACCAACGACATTAAAATTGGTATTTGCTGCTTCTCCGCTAAGCGCGCAGCATTCAGGGATAAGAGCAAAGACTGATCGGTCCGGAGTCAGAATAAGTGTCCGGGTAAGGTGACATGCTTTCTTGCGGACTGTTACCTTGTGAACTAGCACGTTAAAAATCCGGCTCAGCGTGTCGGTCTGGTACAAAGCAGGGTTAATATTCATAATTCATTAACATGTTCTCGTTCTGAATATGCATATTAATTTGCCGCTGGACGTTAAGCAGCCATCTATTATCATCATCTATTTCAGTTGACGAATTTTTAATAGTTTTTTTTATTTTAAAATTAATTCATTGAAGCGAAGTAATTTTTCAATAAGTAAATTTCGCGCAAACGTAGGACAAGTTCGTTTCGCAAAAAACGTAACGCGCCGGTTTTATCTACTATTTGTTTATAAATTCATGAAGATTGAATTAATTTGCCAACATCACTGCAACTATTTCTTTCTAGAATATGCAATTACTATAGTACTTGGTCGAAACTAATTTATGATAGTCGGTTTCCAGATTTTGTAACGGTATTCCCGTATTGTCAGTTTAAATAAACCGTTAAAAGTATTATAAGATTGAGAATTAAATGCGATTTCTTTCTCTTAGATTTTCAGCTGTTTTATAGAAAAATCTTTATCGCATAGCAAGCTATAATAGGCCGGACATAACAAAATGTAAAACAATTCAAGCGAAAAAACCAACGGCCTGATTTGGGATAGGCATATACAGAATGTGGATGAACATGTGTGTGTGTGCCCAACCCTCCCCCGAGACAGTGGTGTAAAAACACAAAATAAGAACAAACTATAAAAACAGTTGAAAAGGGCTGACTCATCTGATCGTTACAAAGCACAAACAAAACAATTAATAAAAACACTAAAGACACAAAGTACCTACGTGAAAGTACTAGCAGTTACTGCAAGCTAGTTCCATGCTAGTAGCAAATAACAACTAATACAAAAATCATGTATCCAAGACAAAATATCAATCAGTACACATGTGTGCCTTTAAAATAGAACATTTCTTTGTCACTGCGATGCCTGTTCGGTCACATATAAAGAAGTCTTTTCTTCATAAAATTATAATGACTGAACTTTACCCATATTGTCGCTTATTCTCGACTTAAAAAGTAAATGGATGAAAAAAATAATAGAAGAACACACATCTATTGATTCGACATTGTTTCATTTTGTTAATTGTCTGAAAACATGGACAGTTTCCAGTTCTTCAATATTAATATTCCACTCTGACAGGTGAACGAAGTTGCATGAGGCCTTGTATTTGCATGGAGTTTTGAATGTTTCACTATTTATAAAGCCAAGCTGTAATTTTACGATGAAAAACAGCTAAAAAGCCCTGTTGTTTTGCTTCGGTGTTTGCCATGTTCCTTCTTTTCCGTTAAGATACAGTTCATTGTGCTCTTTAAGTTTCAACTAGTATCTTATATTATATAAATAGAACCTATGTAGTATACCATATTCTTAATTTTTTGCCTTTCTGTCATCCGAATTCTAATATATAGATAAAATTAAGGCCTAAATAAAAAGATGACATTAATTAGAGAATAACTAATAAAAAAACTGGAATGTGGAAAATATTCAACCATGACCGAACAACACATTAATGCACACGCGTATATATGAGTGAATGTTGCTCGGCTATTCTTTTGATTGCTATAACTTTTCGTGTTAATAGAGAAGAAATTGCAAAGAGTTATATCTTTTTTCTAAACGTTCTCGTTTCACTTTGATGCAAATTTTGTGACAACGACTTGACAATACCTTCAGTGTTTGTATGACGACATGGGCTTTAAGATATATGATTTTATTTCACATGTGAAATGTCGGTTTCATTTGACTGGGAAATAACGGTGTTTCATTGCAAACAATGAACTAATCTATACAATATTTTCGTTCAGACTTAACATCAACATTAATTTTATGGAGGCTCTGTCTGTGACAGTTTAAATGAATTTTTTTTAACATCCAGTATTTTAGCTCATCATTTAACATGTGAGCCGTTTTATTTCTCCTTACTCTTAGGTATTTAGAATGATCCATGTTCATTTCAATATTTATCCTTCCAATACGCGGTAATATTCGAATGTAACAAAAATAGTCCATGCTGTCCGGATCCGTTTCGAGTGATTCAAATCATTTAGCTATTTATCCGTGGTTTTCTGGAAAATCCCATCATTACACCACTAATAACAAACAATATTGCAGCTACCAAACTCAGCGCAAATGACCAAGAAAGTGAATGTATATATTTAGCACTAACGACTTGGTATGGGACTGGAGCTTTCCCTTGGCTAACAGAGACTCCATACAGGACTGCACCGATAATGATTAAAGAACCTGCAAAATAAATAGGAAAATATGAATATTCAATGGCTATATAGATAAGTTATATAGATACAATGGATAAGCGTGGATTCTTGAAAAAGAAACCATGAGCCCGGAGGGCGAATGGTTTGTTTTTCATGAATCTACGCTTATCCATTGTATCTATAACTTAAACTATTGTGTTAATTTCTTTTCAAAATTAAAGCCTTTTCTTAATTAGAAGGTATTGTAAGTGAGTTTAAATAACCATGTTATCGTGTCCAAAACGATGCATTGATAAATCTCAGATCACAATTAACTGGTGAACAAAATACAAATATAACACTTCTACCTTTAAAGATTTTTATATTACCAGGCATATGAATATTATCTGTTTATACAAAATAAGACATATTCGAAATTATTTCTAATAAAATTGAAAATGGAAATGGGAAACGTGTCAAAGAGACAACAACCCGACCAAAAAGCATATATAAAGTATATATAATAAGTATGTTATCGAAATTTTTCTAGCACTCTAGGCACATCACGATTTTCTCGCATAGGAATTTGCGAACAAACCTGTGTAAAATTATGTAGTAAAACAGATGAAATCATACTATATTTATAAAACAAAATTTGACAAATAGAATGTAATCATTTTTGTTTCAAACATGTGAAATAGCCAATATTAATAAAAAAAAAAACAACCGGTAAAACTCGCTATTATTACAAAAATATCCACTTTAACATGCAAAATTAGAAAAAAAAACAGGATAACTTACGAATTGGAACATCAGAGAGAATACAGGGATTCGAACCTAAACCGACAAATCCATATCTTTAACTCATTGATTTTAACCATGCTAACCTCGCGGCTACCAACTCATATTATACGACTGCCTATTGTGTCTATATAAAGGTACAAGCCCTGTGTGTCCGATGAACCGATGTATATCAGATGTTCATTTAAATATATAAAATAGACATCTATACTGTAACCCATTGGTAGCCGAGAGGTTTCGTCGATGTGTTGATGTCAGTCACACATAACAGATTTCGAGGAAGGGTTCGATTCCCAGTGAAGGCATATAAAAATTACAAAAATTAAAGGTAAGTTTTTAAATTAATTCCATAAGTGAACAGAAATCAGTAAATTAGCCAATTCAAACTTAATGAAATTAGGCACACAAAGGAAACAATTGAATATAATTTGGTGAATCAATTTCAGCGTCAGATTTAGGAAGCGTTGATTCTAGAAAAAGAATCCACGGTAAATGAATAGGCTGACGTCACCACAATGGTTTAAGTTGATAGATCTGATCATTGACAAACTGACGGAAATGTGTTGTGTTCATGTAATATTTTACAATAATTACTGGAATGATTCATATCATTTTGTTATTTGTTACATATGTATATTTCTTATCTTTGTATACTTATAATCTCGTTAAAACCATCATTGTCAATTAATCAAAGTTTTGTATACATGTAGCGTTGCATTAAAATGAGCAGACTAAGTATGAACAATCTAATTAAAATTAAATCTCCGCACTTGCTCCTCGTTGTTTATATGTCGCGCGTGGGACATATAAACAACGAGGAGCAAGCGCGGAGATTTAATTTTAATTAGATTGAAGTATGAATAAATGTATGTATGAATGATTAAGGTTGAGCGACAAATACTGCGTAGTTACATATTCTAGGCGTTAAAATGTTTTTAAAAAAGCTGAAACGGATTTTAAATGTGCTAGACTTGTCATCATTTCTGGACTAAATTAAATCATTTTTATTCCAAATTTATAGACATATCTGAAAACTGGCTGCGAGCGGAGTGGCTGCTAGCTTGAGTCTAGTTATTGTTGTAAATTAATTAGAAACCATGAACACTTACGTTATTTGAATAAACTTAATTTGCATCTTGACAAAAGCATTCAATAATTGACATCTTGACAAAAGCATTCTATAATTGACATCTTGACAAAAGCATTCTATAATTGACATCTTAAAAAAAGCATTCTATAATTGCTTAAATCATCTGAATTTTAGTGGATAGTTGTCTCATTGGCAATCATACCACAGCTCCTTATTTTTATATCATAAACGTTTGAGAACTAATGCAGATACAACAAATACACACCTGCAAGTAAAGCACTTATTAGTGCTGAACTTCTGATAATTTTGTTCCATTTCTCTGAATAAAGAAATGTAAATAATCCCATGAATACCAGAGCAACACTCCCGAAGATCATACCTATCACGTTCAATGCCCTCACTGCAACCATCCATCCTAAAAATATAACGTTACTTATTGTCACTAATTACATATCTTTATATCGATCTGATGAGTTAAGTCATTTTCAACCGATTTTTATAGTTTGTTCTTATGGTGTGCTGTTACATCACTGTCCAAGGTTAGGGAAGGGGCTGAGAGCTCATAAACATGTTTAACCCCGCCACATTCTTTATGTGCCTGTCCCAAGTCAGGAGCCTGTAGTTCAGTGGTTGTCGTTGGTTCATGTCTATCATATTTGTTTTTCGTAAATTGTTTTGTTATAAATTAGGCCGTTAGTTTTCTCAATTGAATTGTCTCATATTTTTCATGTCGGAGCCTTTTATGGCCGACTATACGGTATGGGTTTTTCGCATTGTTCAAGACCATACAGTTGCCTATAATTGCTTACATCTACTTCATTTGAACTTGGGTGGATAGTTGTCTCATTGGCAATAATACCAGAGAGAGAGAGAGAGAGAGACTTAAAGATATAATCATCTGAATAATCTGGAGCGAGTGCAGAGGTCGATAGTTTTAACTATAATTGACAAAAAAGACATAGGTGAATTTTCTTCTTGCAAAAGATCACAAACAGGTTCCTCCGAAGAGTTGCAGTAGTTCGAGTGTTTTCACGGGATGAAACTGGCTCTCTTCCGACAACTAAAATGGTTTTAACGCACCAATACAAAAGGACAAATACATTTATAAAGGTTAATATGGAACACGTATATATGTTTACATAAATACTTTATATATCCTAAAATCAAAATATGTTCATGTTTAATTTGATTGGATAAACAATTAACTATTGTCTGTTTAAATTAATATATATCATGCTAATTTCATACTAGAATTTAAGCGCTAAATTAATGCATATGTAGTCTAGAGTTTTCATTACTCACCATTTACTTCAGAAGAAGGTTAATGTTCATAATTATGTAAAAGTACATGTATTACTGTATTATTGTATTTTGTTCTTTGGCTAAAAATACTTTTTTCCATTATAGATTGTGTTTTTTATGTGAAGGCAATTGTGACAGCAAATTGAGCATTAGAGTTTCATTTGTAAAGAAATAAAAGCGTATGTGCTGTCGTGGCGAGCCGATAACCAAATAAAGGTGTTGAGCTTTCTTTATGAATTATTTATTTTCGTTGGAAGTATAGATTATGAATATAAGACGGATTGCAGTCCCCAATCAGCATATTTTCTACATATTCAATTGCCACATGCCAAGACGTTAACTTCAGTTGTCGTTCTAACATTATATCGTCATGAACATGCATGAAACATTTGCTACTGGATGTTAAGCAACCAACACTCATTTAATATTATGAAGGATACATACATTTGGGAACAAAAGGCAGATAATTCTGACTGCCATTAGAAATCAAAGACCAAATGAATTCAGAATTAGTCTCTAACTGACCCTAGGGGCATGGACTCCGCCTTTTGAACTTATAGAAGAGGTTTAATACACAGTAAATAGACTAAGTTGATAATAACAAGTTACTTTCATTAGCCCAGGTTTTGTGGTGTAATTTTTAAGACATTTTGCTGTTTGTTATTGATAAAATATCTTTTCCTGACAGGCATTTTAGAAAATGTTCAAAATTTTGAGACATTTTACATAATGTCTAAATAAAAAAGGTTGTCAATGTAATAACAACTTGTTTTATTTAGTTGGATATCCTTGTTACAATGCACATAATAAGTTGCATACATTATTCATCCACGAGTTAGTTGTAAATGTATATATATATATATATATACAAAAGGTATACAAAGAAGACTCTTATTAAACGCATCTAATTACATTGTATATCATATTCGACCATCTTTTTGTATAGAAATTCAATTTTGACTAGACCGTGTGTGTAATTTAGTATCCCCTTTAGCTATAGGTTTACAAGTTCAAATATGTGGAATGCTACCAGACGACAATTGTTATGCTTAAGTGGTCAAACAGATGTCACAATGAATTAATAAGAAAGTATTTTGTTTTTATTTCTGTTGTGGACATATTTTCTCTTAAGACATTGATTAGATGATCTACTAAAATTTACAGAAATGAAAAATTGGAATAAGATAAACGTTACACACTAAATAGTTACATAAATAGAATGGAGGTAGTGTAGATGATTGACATCATGAGATCATATACCTCTGCCATATGTTCAGCATGACATGTTCTATTTCAGTCATAACAATTTATTTATACTTCTAAAAAACAAACTTCGTTTAGAACTAAAATGAACCATTTTGAAAGTTCATTTAGACATTTGATAACATCAAAACCATGGTGAAAACTTTTAAAAGGAAAAACTAATTCGTTTAAGGTCATCTTTGCCTGAGGGATTTAACTTCGGTTTAATAAAATAACATATTTTATAAATGCAGAAATTTCACAATTGAAAATGTAACATTTAAAACATATCAGTACCACAGCACTTGCAACTAGGAACACGGAATGAACATTGCTGGTCTAACACACTAACACACTAATATCATTATTTTTTATTAGACATTTTTTTGTTTTATTCTTCTATGGGGCAACTCTGGAGAATCCCAAAATGTCATGTTATATACATTTTGAATATGCACTTTACCTGCAATTGCATCTGCATAACTAGAGCAGGAAACAGTCGTCACCACAGTAGCTTGTGTTCGTCTACAATTTAACCAAAGTCCGGAATGTCCAATATTTCCTAACGATTGCGTACTAGATAATGTCCAATATGGTGTTGCTAAGGCAACTATTTCTACAATCCCACTAATTATAATGACGACAATCGCAGCAAACGAAAACCTTGAGAATTTATCAAAAAACTTCATTGTTCAACAAATATCACTGACACCTTTAAAAGTCACAAATTTGATCTTTTTGTTGTCATAAATATCCAGCAATATTTCTATCGTTGCCGGAAGCATGTGGTCTAAATTGAACGAATAATTGTCACTCCCAACTAAATGGTTATCGATAATTTGTTCTTTCGCATCTTTTTGATTTATTTAGCTGGGAGACAATATGTTTATCAAAAAATTGACATCAAGGTCTTTCATATATTCACTACACCATACAGGTAAACACATTGAAATGTTGTTGTAAAGTTTACATGCATGTTTCACTACACATTTGTACTTGAACGGAGAGTGACGAAAGTGTTATTTGCATTGCACAACGTATATTTTAATCCCTTTTCTATTGTACGTGTGTCTATTATAGTCTCCGTAATCCCTATTTCACGACCCGCTACATTTTAAAAGTTGTGTATATGTTTTATATCCAGTATTTATTTAATTCAAATTTGAGAGATATGACTATGACTGATGCATAAATAATCATTCGACATTTTTTAGAAGGTTGTGTAATTACCATGGAGACAGACATTTGTTATTATTGTTCTTGTATGTGACATTTAAATGTTAAGTGGTTCTTAAACCAAGAAATGCACTTGATTAAGGCACGAACAACCTCCCACGGGTGTATCTGGTTGTTTGGTCTTCTTTTGCTCATATTAAGAATAAGTGCTCGATTTATTTTTTGAGGGATACTAATTAAAGGACAACATTTTGTCGGGAAACTTGTAAAAACATAGAACTGAGGCTCTAAGACTGATATCTCTTCCTTTATTCTGTGATAAGTTCAAAGCGATTTGGAAAAAGCTTCTGTTCAAGTTTTTAAAAAAAAATATGTCATTTTAGCAGCACAAGGTATGTATCCACATGTATTCAGAATACACATACTAAATAAAAAATGCATTCTTTATATGCCTGGAGTCTGTATTTCATTGGTTTGTGTCAACGAGGACATACTATTTTGCATCAATGGTATGAAAACTCAGATGAGTCAAGGTAATGTTTTGGTCCTAGTTAAATTTTCGTTTGATTGATGCATTTTAACCTCTGATGAGTCCAACTCGGTTGATTTTGTTTTTCTTGTTTGAATTCTTAAACTTTTTTTTATTCCTCGGTCTTTTTATAGCTTTCTATATGGTATGAGGCTTGCTCATTGGTGAAGGTCGTTTTATATCTTGTAATATGGTATGGGCTTGTTCATTGGTGAAGGCCGTTTTATGTCTTGTAATATGGTATGGGCTTGCTAATTGGTGAAGACCGTTTTATGTCTTGTAATATGGAATGGGCTTGCTCATTGGTGAAGGCCGTTTTATGTCTTGTAGTTGTTACCGTCCGTGTCCTGATGTCCTTGGTTAAAAGTTTCCATATGTCACTGTACGGCCTCCAACAATGAGCAACACCCATACCACATACTAAGCTATAAAAGGCCCCTAAAATGTTAAACAATTTATACGAGAAAACTAACGGCCTGATTTTTATACAAAACAATAAACGAATATCAAATATGATGTACAGCAACAAACGACAACCACTGAATCACAGGCTCTTGACTTGGGACAGGCACAGACAGACAGCAACAAACGACAACCACTGAATTACAGGCTCCTGACTTGGGACAGGCACATACAGACAACAACAAACGACAACCACTGAATTACAGGCTACTGACTTGGGACAGGCACAAACAGACAACAACAAACGACAACCACTGAATTACAGGCTACTGACTTGGGACAGGCACAAACAGACAACAACAAACGACAACCACTGAATAACAGGCTACTGACTTGGGACAGGCACAAACAGACAACAACAAAAGACAACCACTGAATTACAGGCTACTGACTTGGGACAGGCACAAACAGACAACAACAAACAACAACCACTGAATTATAGGCTCCTGACTTGGGACAGGCACAAACAGACAACAACAAACGACAACCACTGAATTACAGGCTACTGACTTGGGACGGGCACAAACAGACAACAACAAACGACAACCACTAAATTACAGGCTACTGACTTGGGACAGGCACAAACAGACAACATCAAACGACAACCACTGAATTACAGGCTCTTGTCTTGGGACAGGACAAACAGACAGCAACAAACGACAACCACTGAATAACAGGTTCCTGTCTTGGGACAGGCACAAATAGACAACAACAAACGACAACCACTGAATTACAGGCTCCTGACTTGGGATAGACACATACAGAATGTGGCGGGGTTTAACTTATTTGCTGGCGCTAAACCCTCCTGACCTAGGACAGTAATGTAGCAGTACAACATAAGAACAAATTATAAAAATCAGTTGGAAAGGGATTTACTCATCAGATCGATACAAATCACACAAAACCTTAACAAAAACACAAAAGACACAAAGTACAGATCTGAGCTACTCGCAGTTACTGAAAGATAATTCAAAGCCAATAACAACTAAAACAAAATCACGTGTCTAAGAATAAACTATCAATTAGTACACATCCAACATCCAATGGATTTAGTAAAAGACGCCATCAACAGTCAGAGAAAAAAATGACCTTATGCAATGCCAAAATATAACTAAAGTATCGACAGATTATAGAACCGTGAATGAACATATATGTATACCAATAATACTAAGTTTGATTTTAATTTTTAATAACAAAATCAATATTTATACCGATAAAAACAATATTCAAAGATCTAATTACAATGTGGAATTGGCAACCTCTAAGAATAAGTTTATTTAAAGGATCAATAAGTTTACCTGGATCGTATCTAAAGTTACGGGCTCGGTAACCAACATCACCGTAAACATTAGGATGTTATATCGCGTTTGTAATAAGTCTTCTACGTACTGGTACAGCCAAACTTCCAATAATGCATTTCCAAGAAGAAATTCGGTCAGTTATAAACCCAGATATTGATGACTTGATACAATACATATTTGTTTACCATCAAATAGAAATATTTTTGTGTGTTGTGCAGATAGATTTCTAAAATGTACCATTCATAATGTACTTTTAATAAGTTTTTTTTACATCATGTGTTTAGAATTCCACCCGTTTTCATTTTCTGCAACTAATACATCATATGCATATGATAAAGTATCGACTTTTTCACTGTCAATATCAACACCAATATATAATGCTGCAACTAAGCTACTTGGTTTTGAATTTCGGATGTGACCTCTATGCAAGGTATTGTATAATATTTGATAGGGAGGGGAGGGCGTGACACCCATGAACTAACCCTATGGTGCACTCAAACTTTAATTATGACAATTGTGAAAAGTTTTTTTGAGATATTTAACAGTTTCCAATAGACAGGCAAACATTACAAAATGTATGATGGTCATAAAAGGTTATACCAGTTAATACTATACAAAGTTAATTGGTTGAGATCTGATCAGGATTTAAGACATCTGACTACTTATGATACACAGGAGTCTAGTGCACTAGATAGGTCTTGTAATGCCAATTTTAAATACTAGTAATTATGTTTAAGGGGCGGGGATCTGACAACTTTGCAAGACATCTGAAAATCCATAATATGACGTAGCATGACCGCCATGAACAACACGATTAGCATGTCTGCCTTGAACAACACATTTAATGCACTAGAAAGCTTTTATCACGACAAGTACGAATATCAAATGGTTAAAGGGTGGGGGGTTTGAATCAGTTTATAAATATTTAATAAATTACGAGGAACAATTTCATAAAAAAATATATAATCAATATTTCTGGAGTTTAGGTATAGGCATCCCTTTCTTGTCATGTTTATGTCAACAATTCATGACGTTCTGATGTACCTTCTTTTGTTGTGTCAAGTTACTCAAGTTAAATAAAAAAAAATTTAGTTGTATTATGACTACCCATGAGACAATTATCCAAACGAATCCAAAATGACGTTTATTTTAGCAATTATAGGACACCCTACGGCCTTCAACGTTGACCAAAACCCATAACGTAGAGTAAGCTATTACAATAAATTTCCGATCGAAAGACCCTTTGAGTGAATCCATAACATTTCCCCCAAAATGTCATCTTAAATGGCTTGAAAAGGTATCGTAACTATATCCTTTGTGGATAAGTCTGTTTAAAGGTTTGGTTATCTTTTGAGGTGAATGACGACATTTTTGTGCTTTGTATAGAATATTACCATAACAGATGGGATGTGGAATACCTGAACTCATAAGATGTCTGCACGTTGATTTATATTTACGAATGATGCCCTTGTGCCGATGAAAAAAATTTGTAAAAGTTTTGACAAGTTTAACTGAGTTTTACTGTGCGTATTGCTGTGTGTTTGTTTATTCTACATTGGCTAGAGGTATAGGGGAAGGGTTGAGATCTCACAAAACATGTTTAACCGTACTGTGACCTATAATGGTTTACTTTTATAAATTTTTACTTGGATGGAGAGTTGTCTCATTGGCACTCATACCACATCTTCTTATATCTATTAACCCCGCCGTATTTTTTGCGCCTGTCCCAAGTCAGAAGACTCTGGCTTTTGTTTGTCTTGCATGTTTTTGAATTTGGAGTTTATTGTGACGTCCATTTTCACTGAACTAGTACAAATTTTATTTAGGGGCCGGCTGAGGTCCGCCTCCGGGTGCGGGATTTTCTCGCTGTGTTGAAGACCCATTGGTGTCCTTCGGCTGTTTTCTGCTCTTTGGTCGGGTTGTTGTCTATTTGATCTTTCCCCATTTCCATTCTCAATTTTATTGTGATATCGAAAACCCTGGTGTAATGATTTTTCAGTAATACTGAGATTTCTTTCGTTGAAATCAAATACATTGTTACATACACGTGCGAATCGAAGAAGTTTAGATATATAAACACCATAAGATGGCGCTAAAGGACGTCGACAAATGAATAATTAACAATAGGAAAGCTTCCTGCTAGATATCAAGATCCAGGAAAGGAAAATGTTCATTGTTAGTATTAGCGTTATCTAAAGTAAGTTCAACAGGATAATTATCTTTAGTGTACATACTGAAATCGTCATTATTGAGAGCCAAAATATACAAATATATAAAACAGGCTTGTTTATGTTTCTATCGATTTAAGTCAATGATTTTTTTCATATAAAATGCACTAATCGCTTAAATTATCTTATTGTATTGTTTCTCTGTTTTTTCACTAGTGTTTTAATGTCTTTAAATATATACTTTTGTGTATCAACTTTTCCATGGGACCCTAAAGTGTTTAGTTAACTTATAGAAAAATTACCATCACGATATTCTCCGCTAGTTAAAACAGCTTGGAAGATGCTTTTTTTATATTTACCAAGCTTTATATTTTTTCGTCTGAAAAGCAATAGAAAAATATTTATTGTTATTATTATAGTGATACCAGTTTCAACAACAGCTGAAAACAATCAAGGGAGCATAACTAAAATTGACAATTCATGAACAATTATTAAATCTCGGTT